TTTCCCATCTGATAGATTTGCTTAAGGATGACCTGAAAGCTTCAATTGAATGTGCAAAGCTCATTGTGAAAACCGAAGGACTAAAATCATGGCAAGTATTCATTGCATATATCCTTGGGCACAACTGACAAAGCTTATTTTGTCACATTAGCAAAGTTTGCTCGTCCCTTTAGAGATTCGGCCTCAAGCTCTGTCTATCATTGCATTATATCTAAATGTATTGATCTGACATGCATGTGCATTTTTGACATAATGCTAACGTTGATCTTTGTGTCTGCAGGGACAGCTGGGATAGTTACTGTAATGGGCGCAATATGTCACGCTGGGTGAAAGGTTGTGAGTAGCGCTAATAAGGCCTTGATTGCCTGCAGGAGCTTTAATTAGCTATAATGCCCTCAGATTATGTGCTAATGCATTTAAACTCTTGGTTGATATGACTTTTAAAAACTAAAAGATATTGTCATTATTAACATTTGTAACCTTGATCTTGAGATGTCAATTAAAAATCCTTCCCAAATTGTTAATAATTTGTGCTTTGCAGTGCTTTACAATCTCACTTTTGGCTAAAGCTTATGCAGCAGCAAATTGTGACAGGTAGTTTGTTTGATACTAGATAGTAGCGGTGGGCTTTTATTTAAATTGCTTTTATTAAAAATGGAATAATCTGTAATTGAAAACCCATATTGATTGAAGAGTACTCTGAATATTGGACACGTCTCCCTCAATGTCTACGCTGATTTATGTATCCTACATCCAATTTCAGGTGAATTAAATAAAACTGTATGAATTGTGGACACATACATATCACTGTTTAAAAAAAATCTCTGAAATTCATGGTCGAAAAATAGCAGCTGTATTTGCCAGAACTTAAAAAAATTCGGTAGAATTTTGGGTTTTACAGATTGAACTGAGACAAAATTTATGGTTAAAAACAACATATAGCCTATTTCACTAACTGATATAATATTTATATACCTTACAAATTTTGTACCTTTATAAAACTACCAAGAAACAAATTAAGAAAGCCCTGTAGAAACCCTAAGGAATAAGAAAAAGCTTATGGTTTTTCACTGTAAACTAGGGTGATATGTTATTTTTCACTTCCAAAAACTCTAAATTTGTGTTGAAACAATTTTCACTCAGAAATTGCTAGTAAATTGCACAAATAATTACAAAGAAACATAAGTAACACATTGAATTAAATGTGAAATTTTGAAGTAAAAAGACTAAAATAGTAGGCTAATTTCTTGTAAAAGGTACTCCGATAATCTGTTTTATCTACAATGAAAAATCATTTTTACAGTGTACTAAATATTGTTAGGCTGAGAATATAATTTGTAATGCAAGTGTCATGCACACAAATACAAATCCATTATGGTAACACACAACACTTTATAATACAATATTAATATTAATTTAGCAACATACTGTACGATGTAACATAAACCCATAATGTAACTAAATAGAAAAATCTAAGAACGTTTTTAACCATAAACTAAGATGACTTGCTTTTCACTTCCAAAAACTAAATTGAACAGTATTTTACAGCAAAATTCAAGGTTTAATTTATCACAGTATTTCCACAGTATATGTGACCCTGGACCACAAAACCAGTCATAAGGGTCACTTTTTCGAAATTTTAGATGTATACATCATCTGAAAGCTGAATAAATACGCTTTCCACTGATGTACGGTTTGTTAGGAAAGGACAATATTTGGCTGAGATACAACTATTTGAAAATCTGGAATCTGAGGGTGCAAAAAAAAAATCTAAATATTGAGAAAATCGCCTTTAAATTTGTCCAAGAGATGTTGATCAAAAATTAAGTTTGAATATATTTACAGTAGGAAATTTACAAAATATCTTCATGGAACATGATCTTTACTTAATATCTTAATGATTTTTGGCATAAAAGAACAATCGATTATTTTGACCCATACAATGTATTTTTGGCTATTGCTACAAATATACCCCAGTGACTTAAGACTGCTTTTGTGGTCCAGGGTCACATATAGTAAGCATTTTGTGTTTGTTTTACCACAACATTTTTACACTCTTTAACATTAAATTGATTAATGAAGTCCATCCATCATTTTAAAACCCCACCTTAGTGCAATTATATATACTGATTATCATTGCCATAACGCCATTGATTAGTATTTGATGTCTTTGACATTTAGAAGACAGCTGATTTCCAGCTTGCGGGATGGGGTGAGGGTGAACCTCCCCATTTCCATCACTAACTAACCATATTCCAGTTCTAATAGAGCGATGAAGAGCTGTTTGGATCTTGGTCGGGTGGAGAATGAGATGCTTGTTGTGTTGTGTATCTCTAATAGGCTAAAATCACCCCCCTCTCCAGATGGGAAAGGGTTTGTTTCTTTAATTCTACCCTGTGCCTCCAGAGTAGTGATTACAGTCATATCTATAATTACCAGATCCTGAGTGTGTGACGCGAGTTCTCCTGTCGAAGCAGAGGACTGATTAGTTTAATTGACTCCGTAATCAGCAGTGTGCTTTAAAGACTATGCTGTCACTAATTGTAGGCCAGGGTAAATCGCATACAAAGTACCACATCTTTTCGGTGTTAATGCGGTCCAGTTCATTTGTCTTATGTCTGGCTCCAACTCTGCCTGCCAGCTGGACCCCCTGAAAGCTTTCTGATCACGTGTCTATTTAAATTCATGGCCACAACCGTGTTTCTCATAAACAAATACAAATGGTGTAATTGCCAGTAGGACATCTGTAGAAATGAGCTTTGATCCGTGTGTGTAAGGCATTTTTTCTTGCAAAAGAAACTTGCAAAAGTGTTTGAGGAGCAGAGATAAGTATGTTAATTATTTGTATGTGAATACAAGATAATACTGTTCATATTCAATATCTGCTAATCACACTGAGAGTTGTTTATCGATTAGAACCTACGTACAGCTTTTTGGTCCGTGATGAATCACAAAACAGATTTCAAAATAAATCCAGTAACTCAAAAGACTTTTGAGTTCTTGTTTTTGTTTGTGATTAAGCATTTATGTGGTGCTACAAAGAAATGGGATGATTATAGAGCCATAAAAACATACTAAAACATCTTCACAATTAAATATTTTTAATCCATTTGTACAAGTCTAATTCCTGTCTCAAAAATATAAAAAAGTATTAACAGCACATTTTAAATTCAAACACACGATATTACCCACTCTCACAGAAACACATCTTCCTGTACAACCAGATGTCTAACTGACTAATTTCGGTATCTGATACAATATTACTATGATGCAAACCAGTTTAATACTTTTTAGCATTGATATTTTCTATATGCAGTACTATAAAAGATGATAAAATATTCACATGCGAAAAACTGCATATATAACAGTGGCAGCTTAAATCAGCTTCGCAGTCACATCATACAAAAAAATATGTAAAAAATTTTCACGAATTCCATCTTTTTTTCTTTATGACAACATCCTCATAAGCTGCAGAGCAGAACAGTTACTATATTAGCCAATGATTCTGGTCATTTAAAGAATGATCGCATATGTTTCAAAATAAATCCTATGCTACTAAATAATCAATTGTACGCACGTGAACCATCATTGGCAATACATGAGAAATGTTTGAGATTAAATAGGCCTCTCATTTCTTGAATGAGACACAAATTACTCTAATTCTCCAAAAACCTTTTGAGGCCATCTTTTTATGCTCTTTTAGTGTTTCATTTCTTTACTGTGTCACTAGCTTCAGTTTGTGTGACCCTATTCGCTGTCAGAAGGAACTCTTAATTCATAGGTGGAGGGTGAACTAACTCCAGGGTAAGGCTAAAAGCAGCCAAATGTATTAAACATCATAAACCCGTCTTTTTAGGCAAGGACCAGACATGGGTGTCATGTAGGCTAAAAAAATGTTTAATGGGCCTGAATTTGTATTTAACGTGATTACAATTTAATAAAAACATTAGAAATTGATAATTATATAACGTTTCCTTTCAACGGTTATTCAAACAGCGAGTAAATTATATATAGAAAGTGACATTATCACTAACACTGATCTATCGTGAGTTTAAGCACTCTCAAAAAAACAAAACTATCGTTATAATCACTGAAACTGTATACACTGTGAAATTAATCTCTTACTTACATTGTACGTCCATCTGTGCTTTGTTGTTTATGATGAGAGAATTCGCAAGAGTCCGGAATTCAGTCGGCGAACTCAACAACTGAATCACGCACTCAACAAAACTGATCTGTTTCAACGATGACTCATCTGAACGCCCAAGTCCCCATGGCCACGCTCTGCCTATGTCTTAATTCCTCTTTTTATGTGGTTCCCACTTGTACTTGCTTTAATTACAGTAATTTAATTGCTCACTGTGTTTGGTCCCAATTAGTATTCACCCTCCCTAAGCAGCAGTAGATTCAGGTCAGACTATCTGACTAGAAACATGAAATAGAGACGAAGGTCATGGGAGTGAACAGAAAAGTCATAGACTTAAGTAATTTGTGAGAGCACAACATATGTACAGAAATGCGATATATGTGTAACTGCTCTGCCGGTGCTGCACATTTTAGCTAGTATATTAAATCACACACTAAACTAACAACCGGGCGAGAATGTTGCCGATCAAGCAACATAGATGACAAAGCCAGAAAAAAGGGAGCTGTTTGAATCGTAGAGATGATTCTTTAAACTTCCATGCCACTGTCTATCTTTGGTGTCTTGGAGATCCAGAGAGTTGATTGGTTAACGTTCGTTTTGGTCCGTGGATTACTGTTAAAAAAATTTAAATGTATTAATAATTTAATAAATGTAATTGTTCATTAATTCTATTTAATTAATTAATAAAAAAAGAAACTAATACAGTTTTGGAATGATATGATGTTGAGTTGATGACAAAATTTTCATTTTTTTTTATGATAATATGCACCCTCTATGGGTAGATGTGTTATACTGTTATATTATAATCTCTTGATATGGGCACAGACATATGTATTGCTTGTGTGTGCATTGTGAAACCATTGTGGCCAGTTTCCCCACATGAATCTCCATGTCGCCTTTGTCATTTACATAATTTGTTGTTGAGTTTTACTGGGAAGGTTTTATGGCACAATGCATGGAAGACAGTGCATTTAAAGGTATACACAATAAGCAGACCGAAGCTAAGCAGCTGTTACGTGACTCCTCCTGGTCTTATGATAGTATTTAATCATGAGAACCAGAAGCAAACATCGTAAAACAGAGAAGCATCATCTGTTAAGGACTTAAGACGTTTTTCCAAAAGCTTTGAACTCGCTCCAGGAAGCCTTTTACTGAATAGAGCGCACTCAGTCATTGCCAGTGATTAAATGTATTGTCTCAGGATCCCCTCATCTGCCACAGTGATTGGAAATATTTGAAAAAGACATCACTCTGTGGGAGCGTCAGCCGTATAAACATAATAAATTACACAAATAAGCCACTATATAATGTCTTCCCAAGCACGGGCCGAGATGAACTGTTTCGTGCTCTATGTTGCGGGGTGAGAACAGAGGATGGAAACAGCTTGCTTCAGCAATTCCCTGCCAAATGGGATATTGATGGGAATAGAAGTCAAGTTGGACTCAGTCTCCAATGCAGTGTGACGTAATGTGGCAGGCAAACCCCTCCCCCCTACAAATATGCTAAATGCACACTATAATAAGTGTGTTGATGGTGATTAGTACGGGCTAAGCTGTTTTGCCGGGCACAGTTATAAACAGCTGAATCTAATTAATCACAGTAAAACTTCTGGGTTAGCGAGAAAAACATAGGATGGTGTCAGATCTCGGCTAGTGAGCCGAAATCCTGATTAATCAAGACGCAAAGGCTGTTAGTGAGACACTGACTTCCTGATGTGACGCAGTATTTGGATGATACTGTGCATAATAGGACAGCACATTAGCATTAGTCTGACAGCGTTTACAGTGATTTGATCCTGATGGCTCACCTCTTGCTCAACATCTGGAAACAGCACGTTCCTGAAGCTACCAGGATCAGCAAGAGGAGAGGGATGGTAGGGATAATCACATAGATTAGCAGCATACCTGGGAGAAAAAAAAAACACACTTTGACTTCCAATCCCATACAGGCATTTATTTTGAGTTGAATTCTGGGTTCAACACAAGTGAAACTCAATTGACAGCATTTGTAGTTTAATGTTGGCTACTGCAAAAATACTATTTTCACTCACCTCTTTTTTTCTGAAAAATCAAGGGTTACAGTGAGGCAATAGAAGTGAATGGGGCAATTTTTTAGGATTTAAAAGCAGAAATTTGAAAACATGATGCTTATACTTTTATAAAAAGTACTTGCAAAAAGTTACTATTCAGAAGTCTGGAATTTGTCAAATTTTTTGTTTTTGAAAGTCTCTTATGCTAACCATTGTAGTGTTTATTTAATCAAAAATACAGTAAAAATAGTAACATTGTGAAATATTATTACAATTTAACATTACTGTTTTGTATTTTGATATAGTTTATTATATAATTTTAACATTTACAGATTGGGTTCGTTCACTTCAATTTTATAGTAAGCCAGATTGCTGCTTTTTTTAAAGTAAAGGGAGAACAAGTCAAAATTGTTTTTTGTGGTAATCAACATTATGGCACAAATGCTGTTGATTGAGCTTAACTCTGAATATTCCTTTAAGAATTTAAAATCGACTGTTACTTGAGTGCCCTGGCATTACAAGTTGGGGGTTCTCATCCTGGTCAACAGGAGATGTTTTCCTCCCCTCTTGTTCTTCTGAGGAAAGATCTGAAGGGCACATTAACAGATTAGAGTCAACATATCTGTAACTCTTTAAGTCAAATGATGACGGATTTGACACCTGGCTGCTTACCAACATCAGGCCCTCCAGGCGTGTCGCTCTGCACTTTTACCAGGTAACTTTCTGCTCAGAACAACATAACAAACATTGTAAGCTAAACCACTTTAGTAGGGTGAATTCAGGTTAATCAAGTCACTTTTGACTCAAAAAGTTCACAGTGCAAATCACCTACCTGGTTCATACTTGCAGATGAAATTGTGCTTCATATTACACCTGTCATCATTCCACTGGTAAAGATACGGCCCACCAGGCCCAGCGAGAGCTGTAGGCTGGTGATACATGACCACGCAAGCTTCTCCTCCACAGGATGGTTCATCAGCATACCAATTTCTGTAGAACAGAAGTGCTCATTTTTATGGCTGTTTTTAATTCACAACCTGATGTAAATCTCTGCTTTGAACAGGCCCCAGATCAATCCCATCTCACCTAAACTGTGAGACACTTCCATCTGTCCACCTGTACAGGTTGGGACACGAGGCAAAGCTGCCAGGTTCCTGTGCCGTCTCGTCCTCCACACGTGTCAACCCGATCCAGAAGTCTCCGTCTGTGTTGCCCGACCCGCTGGAAGCACCAGTGGAAGTGAAGATGCTGAGTTCCCGCAGAAGATGTTCGATGTGCTTCTGCTCTGCTGTGTTCTCAATGCTCAGCAACGAACCGCCATCCATTTCACACGCATCCTGAGCCTCCCAGAATGCAACACGACTCGACACGTCCCTGAAGTAAGCAATCTTATAGCACGGCTCCTCAGGACTGCCCTGACACACTGTCTGACCTGAAGTCACAAAGTTAATACTGTATTTTTAGCGATTTCTTGTATAGATATATATCTTGTATAGATAGATATAGATTTGGATGTTTAAAGGATGCTCAGTTAAAATGCTTAAAAAGGCTTGCAAGCTAAGAGGGGAAAATGTATGGAATTATTATTAAATCATAAACAAAGCACTTCTATTATAGAGAACACTTAAGATACACTGATAGGCCCAGTGAAGGGAACTGTGATTAATACACAGACTGTTAAAAGTCTAATAATAACATTAGCTCTCTGCCCGGGAGGTACTTTAAATAATTGCATGGTCCAAATCTGCTATATCATCAATTTGAGTCCAGTAATGGGCCGAGTTTAACTGGGGGAAAACTGGACTCCGCATTTTCTTAACCAGCTTCCTTAGCTTTCTTCCTCAATTCCTGTCTGTGTGGCACAGTTTTACTCCTTCCAGCATGGAATGTTCTGGCAGTTCCGCTCTCCAAAACTGTCACTTTCTTGTCACCTTTGTTAAAAACCCGATCTCATCACAAAGAACTGCTCAGCTGATTTTAATTTCCCTTGGTGCATCCTTTTAGTTTACACGTGTATGACAAACCTATTTTTATATCCATCTCTCTCTTTTTTTATGCTTTCATCATCATTTTCTTTTTTATCCCATCGCTTTATTAAGAGAGAGATGTTATCAATAAAGCTAGAGACAAGCTTCAAGAATGATCTTCAAGATTAATCATCTTTGGGGAAGTGAAAACTATGAGCTGATCTGCCAGATTTTATAATAGCCTACACTTAAGAATGTTTTTGAGAGATAATTTAATTATAAAATAAAGTAGTAGAGGTGAATAAGAATGAGCACTTAAAAACATTATGAAAAATTTAGAATTTTGTTACAGCCTCTAAGATTATTTAACATCTAACAGTTATTATTTATGATTGCCACACAGAAAATCAGTTTGAGCGGGTTTGAAACAACCTGAGGACGATTAAATTATATTTGTGAACCTGGACCACAAAAGCAGTCTTAAGTCGCTGGGGTATATTTGTAGCAATAGCCAAAAATACATTGTATGGGTCAAAATGATTGATTTTTCTTTTATGCCAAAAATCATTAGGACATTAAGTAAAGATCATGTTCCATGAAGATTATTTTGTAAATTTCCTACCGTAAATATATTAAAAACTTAATTTTTTATTAGTAATATGCATTGCTAAGAACTTCATTTGGACAACTTTAAAAGTGACCCTTATGACTGGTTTTGTGGTCCAGGGTCACATTTTTGGCTGAACTGTCCCTTTAAACTTAAATATTTAAGACAGTAAAACACAATTTTACCACAAACAACTGAATATTTTGATACATATATCCTCACTGACTTAAAGAAATAAGGTGAATGAAAATAGCTTCATACTAAATAATTTGAAACTTACCACTCACAACTCTCGCGCCATGGCTGAACGAGACCAGGAAAATCAAAGCACAAAGGATTCCGACTGCCGCGCGCATCCTCACGTGTTTCACTTGAGTAGATAATGGAGTGAACTTCAAACAGACTTGTTCCAGTCAGGGGCCTTATTTAACGTTTATTCGAATGGTCTCTTCTTCATAGTGTTCAAAGACATGATTTCCACCGAGCTGGTCTGACACTCTGAAAAGCGCCTCTGAATTCTGGAGAGAGAGAGTGACGCGCGGCTGCTCCACTTCAGTATGGCAATGCTTCCCTCACGCTTGGCTGGGCTGGGCTGGGCTGTACTGCAGGTGATCGAACAGGGCGCAGATGTTCATCACCTCCTTTATTAAGTGCAACACACGTCTCAGGCTCGACCCGCGTTCTCCAGTCATAAGATGGATGATGGGGCAGGTCACAGTTTTAGTGTATAAAATGATTTAAGCGTGATTGGGTCAATGGCTGAGGTGAAAACACCCTTGGCTTGAATTATATGTATCCAATTTAGAGAACCAAAAAGACGCAGCCGAATTATTATGTCTCGGTTCATAAAGGTGGAAACAAAATTGATAATATGCAGACTTGGAGATTGTATGTCAAATTTGTCAATATAATACAGTCATGCTGCAGTATAAGCAGATGGATTTGTGTCAGTTTCATTTATGACCCATGGTATATAGACAACCTTTTAGACATTTTAGACAAGTGGCATTTTTATTTTAAGATCATTTAAAAAAAAAAATCTGTTTATAGGTTCAACAAGCCAAATTTAACTGAAAACCTTCCAAGTACCCTGGGACCTCAGTTGTCTCGAGTGATCCTGATGTAAGGTTTGATCTAATTCTTGAGTACTGGTGGGTCAACCACTTTCATAACAATACCACATTTATACAAGTTAAGGTAATTACGTTTCATGAAAAGGATAATGCATATTCATCAGATCACTAGATGGTCTTAGTCTTGATGACCCTGTTGGGGTTTATTTTGCAATATTGACCATCTGATTGTACTTCATCCTGCTTATTGCACAGCTATTGACCAAATAAATAAAGCCATAAATATTGATTTGAAATTATTTTAATATGTGAAAAGATAAAGGCCGCAAGAGATGACTTAGAACTATTGTAAAAATACAGTTTAGAAATAATTATACAACAAAATATTTGACCACAGAATGCTTCAGCTGCACAATCAGAATCAAGGATTCCAGTTTATTTACTATAAAATAATATAATTACCTATTTAGAAACAAAACAAAGTGAATTAGGATTGACAGCAAAATCATGTGAATACATAAACAGATGTATCCTGTTTCCTGTCAGACCTCCCATTAACAAAATCATCTCTTCTCAGCTGACACCCTTCATTTCAGTTATTCATCTCTCTCTACTTTTAAAAAGTTGTTTTCCTCATACAGGATCACATGGTTTCCCTGACTGCCTCTTCATGGTTCTGATTCATGAGCTGAATATCCAAGGGAGGTTTTCATATTGTCCTCAAACACGTTTCTCTGTATGATAACTAATTATGTTGTCAAAGCGAGACGTCAGCTCTGTGCATGGATTGATCCATTCATCCTGCGGCGTGGAGCCTTGCCGATCCGAAGGCTGTTAACTGAGCTGTAATATGCATCAACGCAAAAATGCTATTACTTAATTTGCGGTTCCCTATCGATTACTTATTTCCCACTGAAAATGCCATTCTGTTCCTTGAGTGTTCGATAATGACACCGAGATATTCTGTGGCACATTATCAATAAAAAGGCAGCTGCGTTATTACTAGGACCCTTGTCAGCGGAGGTATTAAGAAGATCTGGCAGGAAGCACCAGCAGCAAAGAAGAGAAAATAAATGTCAGGCAATCACGAAAAATGAGGAAGCTGAGTGCACTACTGGCCAGCTTGCAGAAAGAACGTCTTAACTGGGCCAGAGGAATGGGGTAGTGCTGATTTTGCAAGTCAGGACAATGGGCCCAGTCTGCAAGCTCTGCCAGAACATCACATAACTCTCCGCTCTCATCATCTGCTTCTCACTGTTTCTCCCCCTCTCTGTCTTGTCTTCTTTTCAGATCAGGCATCAAAGTCACACTGAGTTCATTCTATCAGTGCGCTTAATTGCCCAGAAGTAATCAGGTTTAGGGCATGAATGGTTCACATTAAAGGAATGAACTGTGCTTTCCTGCGAAAGGAGGTGGATCCAAAGGGTTCTAATGTTATTGCTTTGTGTCAACAGATGCTGCAACCTTTTTTAAGAGATTGGCTTCTAATGTATTCACGTTTTTTGTGACACTTTTACCATTCTGAGACCCCATCCTGATACACTGACACATTTTTAAGAAGTTGGTGAGTTGGAACTCTATTGGAAATCTGACTAGCAGCTGAATTTTTCAATAGAACACTTGTACTGTTCATTTGTGCCACCTTAGGATGACCTGACCTATGAACTTTGACAGCATGAACATATTTCCCCCCTTATTGTCAAGAGTACAAGCTAGTTAAAATGATGTGCCAATGGGTTGTTAAGTCTCAGAGCATATTTGGTTCCACTGAGCATTATTGTACCTAAAAATAAGCTTGATTTTAATTGAATAAATAATCCTATGAGTGGATTATTTCTGAGCAATCATAAAATGTAGATTGCTTTAGTGTCCTAAAGAAAAATCCATTGATAGCTGGTATTGACTTATTTCATCGTCTTTCCTTCTAGGTTCCTTCGAATGGAGGTCTCTAAAGAGGACAAAAGGGAAAACTCAAGCTGTGAAAAATGACATGTAGGGTGAAAGAGACCATCCCATCATGGCTCACCCCACCACAGATGTATGATGAGCCCCTCAAGCCTTCTGGGTAAATGAGAACAAGCTCTTTGCTGATTGGATTAAAGCCTACAGTTTGGTGATGTGAGATTAAGGGAACATTAAAGAGAGGGAGTGCCTGGGATCCATTTAAGAGTCTCTGTGTTCAAATCTATACGCATATACTTCCATCTCCAATAACTCGTATATCCAACCCAACTGATAATTGACCCATATCATCTTTTGCCATAATTCACTTCTGGGATATTGTAAGTGTGAGTTTGGCTTGGCTTGCATACGTATTAGTGCTCTATTATGAATGCTTCACATGGGTTGATTGGGATTGATCAGTGGTCCATACTGCTGCACAAGCCAATTAATGGCTGTCTCCTAGGGAGACTCTGGTTGGCCGAGTCGCAATAGATGTAAATGCAATTGATTGACTGTAAGAGTCTAAGTGATTTGGCCCTGTAAATCGGGCAAGCCGAGTGATGGCTGCATTTGAGAGGATTCTTTCACATACGTCACAAGAAATTGCTTCTATTCTGTTCTTTTCACCCTTCTAGGGTGTTTGTGTGCAAATTGAGGAAAGTGTAAGTGCGGTAAAATCAGCCAGGGAAAAGTACTTCTTTAACAAGCAAATCTATTTACGACCCCTCTGAGACCCGAATGGACCGGACTGCAATCTCATTCTGCTCTCCTTCATCACTTAGAGAGGTCATTGACTTCCCCAACAGCCTCCCTGTCCCAAAAGGCATTGGCTCCATGGGCTGCCATCAGCTGGTGACTGGATTCTCATACCAGAATTAATGTAATCAGTAATTGCTGGATGAGCCAGAAGGGCAGCATGAAAACACATGAAAACATGCAAATAAAAATGAGTGTATGTTAAAATGTTCATACAACACCATTCAAAAATTTAGGGTCCTATTTTTATTTTATTTTTTTATGTTTTTGAAAGAAATCTTTGCTCACCAAGGCCGCATTTATTTGATAAAAATACAGTTAAACAGTAATATTAACAGAAATATTATTAGCATTCGTGTTCTATTTTAATATATTTTACATTTTCAGTTATTCCTGTGATGGCAAAGCTGCATTTTCAACAGCCATTACTCCAGTCTTCAGTGTCACATGATCCTTCAAAATCATTAGAATATACAGATTTGGTGCTCAAGAAACATTTATTGTTTTTAAGTTGAAAACAGTTATGCTTAATATATTTGTGGAAACTCTGATACAATTTTTCAGGATTCTTCGATGAATAGAAAGTTCAAAAGAGCAGCATATATTTGAAATAGAAATCTTTTGTAACATTATAAATGTCTTTGCAGTCAATTTTAGTCAATTTAATGTGTCCATGCTGAATTTATTCTTTAAAAAAAATCTTACTTGCCCCAAAATTTTGAATGGTAGTGTATGTCCTGTTAAAATAATTTCTCGTCCTCATTTTTAATGTTGTTTTCAGACACAGGAAAACAAACCAAGATAAAACTGCTGTTCAGAGAGTCTGTTGATGTCTACTGTTTTCCCTATTTATCCCTCTGTTTTATTTCTTAATTTAACTATGAGAGATTTGGGGAAAAAATTAAAGACCTACAATATGGTAGCAGGGGCAAATGACTTCTGTTAGGACCAAGAACAGGGGGTGTATTTTCTCCTAAATTGCCCTATTTCCACAAATGGACTCTTATTGATTCTAAGAATGCATCCCCTCAAAACAGATAATTTGTTACTGCCATTTGCCTCCTCTAGTCACCACTTAAGTATAATTACCCAGAAGTCAATACGGCTGCCAGGCTGCTGCCACGGTTAACCTCTGAGTCACCAGTCACAAGCATCCTGCTCAAATGTTCTCTCGGCCTTGCAGAATGACAGGGTTCTGGGTTTTTAATTAAACGACTATCTTGTCAATTAATAAAGATGTTGTTGGTGCTTAATGAGCTCAAGGCATCTTAAAGACAGGATTTGGTCAGCTGTAGATTTCAGGCCACAGGGCAAATGCATTAAATACAGCTAGTTAGCTGTATATAAAGCAACTTTAATTACTGTAGTATCAAATTTATGCCCTTTTTGGACCATGTCATTAATTAGTCATGGCAATATCTGGCAAAATAAATCTTATTCTGAACCATGTTTTAAGTAATGTGATACTCCCATATAGTTAATTTAAACTGCAGTGCATGCCAATGAGTTTTGCATTTAATGAATAGTTCACCCAAAAATGAAAATTTACTCACCCTCAGGCCATCCAAGATGTAGATGAGTTTGTTTCTTTGATGGAATAGATTTGGAGAAATTTAGCATTACATCACTTGCTCACCAATGGTTCCTCTGCAGTGAATGGGTGCCGTCAGAATGAGAGTTTAAACAACTGATAAAAACACATCACAATAATCCACAAGTAATCCACATGACTCCAGTCCAGCAGTTAATGTCTTATGAAGTGAAAAGTTGCATGTTATAAGAAACAAATTCATCAAGATGTTTTCATTTTAAACCATTGTTTCTCGCGTTTGAATCATCATAATTCATAATAACGCTTCAGGCATTGAAAAAATTCCATCACCTCGTTTCCCTTGCTCGCTCTTGTTGTTGCTTAATCTGTTTGTGTTTTTCACCCAATTCAGACGAAACAACTTTTTCAATGGACAACACAGTAGTATGAATAGAGAACTAATTTCTTACAAACATGCAGTTTTTCATTTCACAAGATATTAACTGATGGACTGAGGGTGAGTAAATGTTCAACAAATTTTTGGGTGAACTATTCCTTTAATACAGTTTAGGAATACAGTTTAAGAATATTTATCTGGTGCCATGATGACGTTTTATATAAGCTATGCTATGCCACAACCATCATAACTGTCTGGTTAGTAATATACCTCCTCTTCCACTGCCTCTAATAATAATATCGTATTAAAATATACGGTATTGTGTGAAACCGCACTGACTCATTACCTGGAGCAAAATGTGTTATATTCAGTATACTGAGGTCTTTCTGATTTGCTGATTATATTTAGTGATTGCTATTTTAGGAACGTATAAACCCTTGATTATGCTAACCACCACAATACATGCTCTGAATACACTGCCATATTGCAGCCAGCATTTAAGAAAATCAATTCACAGTTATGAATTGGCCTTGTCATAATCTCTCCAGGAGATAATGCATTTTCCAGCACTGCCGGTTGATGACAAGTCATCCATGAAATATGTAACTCCATCCAACTAACGGACTACTACAACCAGCACCATGATCAAACCAAGCTTGTGCCAAAAACCTGAGAGACATTAGGCTAAAGATTCATTTATCATACAAGTTATGCCCTTTTGCACTATATTGGTTTCTGTTTTAATCAGCAGAGTTAATTAAAACGGTTTAGATTTTATAACAGAATTAAATTACATTGCTATAATGGATCGAGATAAGCATCACTCCATGACAAGATTTATAATTGTGGTGGCTGATTATTTTTCCTTTGTCTGGAAACAAACATCACATCTTTATAGAACACTTTCCCCCCCGCCTCGAAACACGCAATAGAGTGGTTCATCACAATTATTTTATTCAAGTAAATGTATGTGTGTATCTGCGTAGCACACCCTTCAGCAATGCAAAACTACAACCAGGCTTCTTGCCTCAAGCCAGTGGGGCTAATGAGTCTAACTGACGACCTCTAGTATTTCTACATAAAATAATTAGGAATCCTGCTCTGAGCCTATTAATCTTTGCCGAATAAGCAGAATGCCTGACCAGCAATCCATCCCTCTTGATTACTGACAAGAAAAAAAAATCTTAATTAGGAATGATTTTCCCTTCCATTTTATTCACCACTTATTCAATATTTTTCTTCTCAGTAAACCTGTTGCACTTTGACAGAGTGATTAAAGGGGTCATATGATGCGATTTCAATTTTTCCTTTCTCTTTGGAGTGTTACAAGCTCTTGGTGCATAAAGAAGATCTGTAAAGTTGCAAAGACTAAAGTCTCAAATCCAAAGAGATATTCTTTATAAAAGTTAAGAGTTAACCACGCCTACCTAAAACGGCTCGCTCTAACACGCCCCCACATATCTACCTCACTATGTGGGAAAATTTGCATAACGCCGCCCAAATGTTCATGCAAAGAAAGAAGGTGTAACTTTTATTCTCACTGTAGTATTGTTGCCGCCGCCATGTCGTGAAGACGCTGTGTGCTTCATTGTGAAAGCGAAACTACTTTATTTGGTCTTCCAAAAGAGGACGATATCCGCTTCGTCATGCCTAGAGCTGATCTGTGCTGGTCGCTGAGGGAATACATCAACTTAGTGCTGTGGATTGCCGGATCGGCTTTTACCGTGGACGAAGCGGAGTCCAGCCCGGGGTCGTCACATGTGGTTGCCGCTCCTTCGTCAGATCTGCCGGCTGCGCCGTTCTCAGCCTCGCCGCCTCTGCTCACTCTAGCCCGGCCTCAGCTCACGCTAAGATTTCAAAAAGGCGGGGCATAGAGGAGAAACAATAATGTACTTTTTTTTTTTTTACTTTAAACCGCATAAACACATTTCATTACAGGCGGCCTTGAGTGAGCGGAGGCCGGTGGATTCGACTCCGCTTCGTCCACGGTGAAAGCCGATCCGGTGATCCACAGCGCAAAGTTGTTGTATTTCCTCAGCAACCAGCACGGATCAACTCCAGGCATGACGAAGCAGATATCGTCCTTTTTGCCCCACATACACAACAAGTCATTTAGACATTTGCAACAGTTAGTTTTGTACACATACAGATTGGTTCTATGCAGTCAATCCGTTTTGCAGTTCTTTAAACTGTTGTTTTCGCTTGCAAGTCACTGTTCACAGGCTTGCAGTGCTTTTGACCGTGTTTTGGCGAAAAAAACGTGCCAAAAGTGTAAGCTCAGAAAAATGGAAGTCAGAAGCATTCAGATCATATTTATTTTGCGTTAGCATGAAGCTGCAGTTTCACAATACATGAATTACACTTGCGAGTAACAGTAAAATGCTGCAAAAAATTTTTTCTTGCGCTTGAAACACGATTTACACCTTTACAAAGCTTCTGTTGCGCATGCAAATTCAATTTACGCTTACAGTCTTATGTACACTTCCACAACTCTTACCCTGCGTATGCTAATCTTTTTGACGTCATTCTACCTTCATACTCCTCCCCTCACTGCAGCCAATTGCTCTCGCCTACATTTCAGGCGAGGCGCATCTCAAACAAGCCTATTGTTTTGACGTAAATTAATCACTGAATCATTTTAACTGGTTCTTTAAACGAATTGTTCTAAAGAATCGATTCGCGGAAATGTCATGCACTTTTGTTTATGACCCTACCTATCGGGTATTCATGGAAAAACACACGTAGGGCCTACTATTGTTCAGTCATCGCTTGTTTATCCTCTGGTCCTTATCTGCCATCATAGATAACACGTTTTTAAAAATAGGTATATGCATTATTTAAATTAAAATCAGTTTTGAAACGAAACCCCTTTGGTCTCTCAGGTAAAAGAACAAAATCCGAAATATAACTAGTTGACACATGATACAGGAAAACGTTATGTCTATGTGTATGCTTATCACTGTCTACATTGGTCCCGTAATAAACTTGACATTTCAAAGTACGGAGTTTGTTGCTGAAGCACAAGCTCACTCCGCACTTCCGCGGCTGTGCCCTCGATAACACACGCCTTGGTGGGAAAGAAACGGCCAACGGGTGGCGTCGGGTCTTACGGTTGTCGAGATGACGGGTCTGCTTCACCGCGCGCTATCTTCTCCGGTGGAATGTTCAGTCGAGCCGCCTGTGGGGGTATTTAATGGCACAGCTGATGCCCGGAGGGATTAAAGGGAGGTAACTAAACTAGATGAGCCAGATAGTTAGCCTATAATGTCAACACATGATCTGAAGTTGCAGCAGTCAAGTTGTCAAAGCGGAGTGAAAGCCAGCGTGACGTGCTTTGTCCCAAATCAGGAGAGATTGTACACACAAACTGACAAATCACGGTAGGCTACAAAGTTCTTGGAATTTTTAGTACGTTTTCTTGCTGTTCTTCTCTCACACAAATACTATTTTTCCTTATTTTCTCTCTCTCTCTCATAAACTAACCCTTATGGTCCTCCTCAGACAACATTATGGAAGTCTGTAGCTTTAAGTGGACAGGTTGAAGTTCTTACGTAATTAGAAGAGCTTGCGCAAATATTAGTTTGCTTTAAGTAAGATGTATCCGTTGTAGTTTTACCACAGTTACAAATTATTTTACAATCAAAGAATTATAACAACACGCCAATGGACTGAACATTGATTCAAGCATTGATCTCTTGTCTGGCACACCCCAGTTATATAATAGCTACCTGATGTTGCCTTGCACATGCACAATCAGAAATTCCTAACAAAATAATCAAGCATTTAAGATTAAAAAAAAATCTTTACCAACATGTTTGCTTGACTGCATCTCAGTTTAATTGTTTCAGATTATTTTAAACACACCTCCAAAATATCTGGTGTCACTGCTATTAATCTTTTGCTGAATGTCATCTCAACATGTCTCACCATGTTTATGGTAATACTTTAGCTCTTATGCAATTTGTTACACCCACATTGTCTCATCATTTTTTTAATAATAATAATTTTAACAAATAGTAATTTAGCCAAAATTAAAATGTTCAACATTATTAGGAGAAATACAAGAAAGTCTTTTCTGTCTACTTGGCAAATACTGTAATCATTTTCTTTGCACATGTAGAGGCAGGACAAAATTGGAATTTCACTGTCATTGTCATGTGTCGATATACTTAGAAAACATCTGTGGGTGTTCCTGTGAAGAATTTTTCTGAAGGGAGTGAACCTTAGCTGCAGACATGTGGTGTTTGTTGAGAAAAACAGTCTCCAGTTCTCTGTAGACTGTATTGTTGCAGTATTGTAATGCCGAAGCTTGATTAGTTTTCAGAATGTAAGTGAACATGAGAAGTTACATCCTGGACCATTGGCTCAACACATCCACAACAAGAAAGATTTAGAAACTAGAACTACTGCATCTTCACCATCGTTGCAGTTAACAGGCCAGCAGAAAAGCAGCAGAGGTGAGTTTGTATGACTGGATTATCAGATACATTTGTTATCAGACAAAAATTTCAGCTCATCATAAATTCATAAAATTCTGACTAAAAGTTCTGTTCATTTTAATTATATGCATGTAATGTCAAATGAAGCATGCATAGCACTGTGCAAAAGTCTTAGGCTATTAGTATTTTTTACAGACAAAAAAATGGTTTTAAACCAGTTATTTTTTATATCTTTTGCTGTAGTGTGTCAGTAGGAAATATCAGTTTACATTTCCAAGCATTCCTTTTGCCATTAATTGTTTTGAGATTTTTGTAGGCACAAGGAGTCTGACAACAGCCAGTGCTCCACACAGATCTGATCTCACCATCAGCCAGTCCATCTGGAATGACATAAAGAAACAGAAAAAACTGAGACAGACTAAATCCAGAAGAACTGTGGCAACGTCTCCAAGATGCTTTAAGAAACCTACCTACAAAGCTACAGTAATGTGAAAAGTTTTAGGCACTTGTGTAAAAATGCTGTAAAGTGAGGATGCTTTCAAAAAATAATGTCATAAATAGATTTTATTTATCAATTAACTTTAATTAACTAAATCAAATCAACATTTGGTTTGAGTACCCTTATTGTTTAAAGGGGTCATATGATGCGATTTCAAGTTTTCCTTTCTCTTTGGAGTGTTACAAGCTGTTCGTGAATAGACTACAAAAATCTCCAATTAATTGCATTATTCCGATTAATGGCTAAAGAAATGTTTGGAAATGTAAACTGATATTTCCTACTGACACACTACAGCAAAAGAAATAACTAGCTTAAAACCTTAATACTAATTAAGGTCTATATATATAATCATGCTGTTCCTTGTAACACTTCTCCACTGATCAGATTTGCAGATCAGGCAAATAATACTTCTCAGATCTAAGGAAGACTCCAGTAGGACATCTGAGGAACAGAGGAAATCTGCCAGATTTACTTCCACCATCTCTATCAGTCTTCCCAATAGAAGAAACAAAAAAGACACAGCGGAGGAAAAAACACTGCAAACTACAAATAGCCCGTGAGTTTTATTTATTTTTATTTTTATTTTTTATTTTTTTGGGTCTTTTTTATATTTTCACACTGCTGTTGGGGGTCATCATGCTTTAAAAAGAGTTTAGTGTTCACTTTTGTTTTTTAACAAAATTGTATAGGATTTTAATCAGCCATTTATCAGTTATCGGTTAGAACATGAAAATAATTATCAGCTTATGGCATTGACCAGAATTAAGGCCTGTTCACACCAAGCACGATAACTATAAAGATAACGATAAAGATATAGTTCTAAAAATCGTTCTCAATATTAAAGAATAGCAGAGTCCACACCACAACTATAACGATAAAGGCACAGAGAAATTATATAGTTGGAATCACTTTCAGAACGATTTTTTCCAGTTGATGAATGACACAAACATTGACAGCCAATCAGAATCCATCCTGCTATAACGAGCTCAAGTATTTAAAGCGGCAGACGCATGTGCGCTGAGAATGAACAGAAGATATAGTCCGCTGGTGTGGACGCTAATATCGTTATCTTTATAGTTATCGTTCTTGGTGTGAACGGGGCTTTAGTCTTCCTATTAGGAAATGTTTTATGAAAATTTGATTCCACTTAATATACACTGCACATAATAATATCTTTTGTCTTGTAAATTATGCCACAGCACTTTGTGTTTTGTGTCATATGCACAATCCTAGCCAGAACAGCAAACACCCTTTCGACCCATGACTGGCAGTAATAGTCCTTATATAGCAATAAGTCATGATTTAATGATGGTGAATGATAGTGTGAAAGTGTATAGGCAAAGATTTGCTGTTTGGCTGTACCGTATCTAGGTGTGTTCATGCTTTCAAACACTGCTTACACCTTTATAAAGTGTTTACACCTTGATCTTGGAAACAGTAAATAGACATTTATTGGAAAGTTTTATTCTGGAAGTGAACTAGGGTTTTTTTTTTTGTGTGTGTGTGTGTGTGTGTGTGTGTGTGTGTAAGTGGTATATGTATCTGACCGTATGCATTCATGTGTGTGAGACACTCTGTACTAATTTTAAAAGAGTTTTAACAATGGACCCCTCCCTTCATGTCAGGCCAATGAATTGTTTACTCCTAGAATGCTTAAACTGAGAGAAAGAATGGAATGTTGTTGGTCTTGTTTTCCTGCGTTGTCTTGCTAAATATATGAAAGATGTTGAACTAGTAAAAGTATTTAGGGAGTAAGAATAGCGTGTGAAACATTGAATTAGATGAGAGATTTGTTTTCATCGTAGTTTTCTTTGTTTATCTACCTGAGGGAACTTATTTTTTTTAATCTACATGTTAAATGTTTGCTCATTAAAAAAAATCATATGCTAATTAAAAATTATTTTCTCTATTTGACAGTTACAGCACACATGAAGCCATAAAAAACACAGCTAATCAAAACCACACAGAGGTAAGCATTCAATCTAAGACAGTCATGAGAATGAGATTGTTTATCTTTTTAGTAAGAGATCGTCTGATGTAAAGATAAAATCTATGTCTTTCTAATCAAACGTATCTTGCTTAAATATAATTAAATATCTTTATTGTACTGCCCTTTGAATACATTCCGCTCTACTGGGCCATGTTTGCAGTTTTGATATGCAGAGTATTTTTCAGTGGAGTGTAAAGCTCAACTGTGAAGTTGAACTGTCTGTTTAAACAGTTATGGAATGGGAGTGGTGATTTGTTCAAATAGTTCAAATGCACGTGAGAAGCATTTCTTGCAATTTTCCCAAGCAACTCTGAAATTTACTAGTCTAAAATGTACAAATGCCACTGTGCTTGAATTAGTGCCTGTGTTTTGTACTTTTTTTGGCACTAATCCAAAGCTTTGTTGCTCGTTCTGACAGCTAAGGGACGTGCTTTCACCAACTGAGCAATGTGGCGAATCAACTGGTGAATTATTTAAGAATAGGGATGGGCCAAAAGCAAGCTTTGATGAAGACAGTTTTACCACTCTGCATCAACATGGACATAACACACCAAAGCAGGGACAAAATACAGGAATACAACACAACATAGGCCTTCATGAACAAACGCAAATTGTCCACAACGGCTCACAAAGACATTCTACTCAACCTGTTTGTGAGGTTCAAACAGAATTCAACAAGGAATCTGGAGCCAATGACTGTAGAAAGAATGCTGCAACAACTCCACAGTACCACAGTAATCTGACCTCCTTTGAAGTGGACAATGGTCTAAAAGCAAGCACTGATTCCCAGTTTTTTGCACACTATTCAGAAGTAGTAAATCGGGTCTTGCCATTAGACTCTTTTCCTGATCTTCATTCTGATAGTACCCCTGAGCCAGAACCTGGTCTTATCAATCCTACATCAGCTATGTTGACATCGGCCCTGGCCTCAGTTCTTCCTCTACCTTGGAGTGGCCGTCTTCGAAGACCCAAGCAAGGCAGCAGCGAAGTACAGCATGAGCCCCAAGATTGTGGACAGAATGTCAACCCATCTACCTTATTTTGCCAGGATCAGCAGCAACAACCGTTTCTTCCTTCCCAGAGGCGACCATCTGAACACATGTTGGCCAATGACAATGACATGCAGTTGACTGCAGGAACCAGCTATAACTCTCCTGACTGGCAAAAAGAGAACAATTCCCCGAACATCACAACCACAATACAGCCGAAGAGACCCATTATTAAATCCTCCTCTGTGGGCATGATGTACAATAATACAGATTTGCATTCTTTTCCCACACCTCTGGACACTCGTCAGGTACCAAATTTGGCCCATTCAGAGTACAGAATATCAAAAACTGGAGATGAACATGAGCCTTTCAAATCATTGAGCTCTAAGCCAACAACAAGCAGTCTACTTCTTTCCTTGAGGAGGTCAAATTTGAGAAGCTCCAGTGCTGAGCCCACACAATCACAGACTCAGATGACTAGGTCTGTCAGGTCCCTTACATTGCCTAGCAGAGTTGTTTTGAAAACTCCATCATTTGCCCATTCTGTTACCGCTGATAACCAAACCCCCGTATATCCAGACACTCCTGCAAGAACAGAGGAAATAGCAGTCAGTCAGTTCCCTTTCTCACATAGAATTAAGAGTAGAGTGCCATTAAGAAAATCACTGTTTCTAAACAAACCAGAGACAGAAATTTCAAAGAGACTAGAAGCTTCTGTTGCCAGAGTAGAGGAGGAACGTTTCCCAATCTCCACAACCAAAACCGGCCAACTTGGAATTCTCAGAGCTCAACAGAGTTCTTATTCAGTGTTTTTGAGGAAATATTCCAGTACAGAGGACATAGATCCAGCGGAACAAAATGCTGCCAACAACACCAACCTGCAAAACTCCAATATGACCAGACAAAAAGTAATTCCAGATACCACAATTTCTCCCAAAGTTTTAACAAACAATGTTCAACAATCTGGCTTTAATGTTCAAAAATTAAAATCACAAAGTACACACAATATAATAGCCAGTAGTTCTTCAGGTACAAGCACCTTCACAGACAGGCTTAACTACTCACCCAGGAAAGACTCTTCTGTAGATGGAACAAGTCCCACAAATGTGGGGCAGATATATCTGGACTCTAAGAAATATTCTCAGTCAAATCAAAGCACTATGGATCTTTCGAGCCCTCTTTCTCCAAGCAGACCTCTCAGAAGTGTAAGAGTACCAAGCATTTATTCATACCTACGGGAGTCCAGCCCGGCTGTGTCCACCCCTTCCCCTTCTACCCCTTCTTCCCACATACAGAGAGGTGAAACATCGCCTCCTAAGCAAGATGGAGGTGTAACACTGCAGGGTGACCGGAAAACACTACCTTCAAGATTTTCATTTGACTTCAACCCATTTGTGCCACAGGTACAAGCATTACAAAGAAACTCTTATAGCTCCAGCTCTAATATAGTACCAGCTCAATCTCTGCCTCCTGATTTTGGACGAAGATCAGCACCTCGTCTCAGCACTTCTCCATATTCTAGCCTCATCTCCTCAAGACCTACACTCAACAACACTTTACAAGAACTATCCTCTCCACCTGTGTCCAAAACTCATACCCGATCTACATCTTATGATATTGTAACCACTCCTGCAGACTTCATAAAAGGTGATCCAAGCTCTTCACTGTCCACATACACAGGCATAATAAGAAGACCAAAGGAACAGTTAGCTTCTCCTAACAGAAAACAGAGGACAGCAGTTCAAGATTATACAAGCGCCCTAGATAATCACAAACCTGCCCAGCCATGCCTCTTACAAGCTGCACCAGATACAAGTTTTGTCATGGAACGCCAAAGCGCAAATATAAGCCCACACCCAAGGCAGCCAGACACAGGCTCTAACAACTTCTGCCATCAGGAGCATGATGGCTTGATGGAACTTCAGCTTGATAAGGGTAATGCTTACCCCGAGCACAGGCTGAGTGAGAAAGATAAGTATTTAATACCTGATAAGCTCACAGTAGAAAACGAGACTCCACTGACAGCTGAGAAAGAGATTCCTTCTGTGCATATGCATGAGAGATTACAGGAAATGCAAAGTTCCAATTCAAAAAAAGGCCTCTTTAGTTCACGAGTTAAGAAAGACAAAGAAGCTGTCTTTTCTTCAGCTTCATTGCCAGACAAAGAGGTTGTTAGTCCCCAGTATTTAAAAACCAAAAGACATTCGCCAGTGTTTAAAACGAGCAGCAGGATTGACCAGATGTTAAATCGCTTGAAACTGACATTTGGTGTCAAACGTTCAGACAGCTCACTTGACGCACTACCGAAAAAGAACAAGAGTCCCACTCAGCAACCCTCAGATACTGAGACTTTTGAAAGTCCCAAGACAGAGGAGAAAACATGTTCTGAGAGCCACCCGGAACCTTCTAAATACTCTTTAACAACTGATAAAACCTCTTTAAATTCCTTGTCACTACTAACATTCAAAAAATCTGAGAATACATTAAATAAGGATGAACAAAGTAAGTCTACGGCTGAAATAAATTATTCTGGGTGCAAACGGGAGGCCCCCAACTCATTCTTGACCACCAATAAATCATCTTTTGCCTTGTTGCCACGTACATTAAAGATATCTGAGAAAAACTTAAATATGGATTGGCAAAATAGATCTACAACTGAACAAAAGGGTTCTGGGTGCACATGGGAGGCCCCCAGCTCATCTTTGACCACTGATAAAGCCTCTTTTGCATCTTTGTCGCCACTTACATTAAAGAAATCTGGGAATACTCTAAATATGAATTGGCAAAACAGATCTACAACTGAACAAAAGGGTTCTGGGTGCACGTGGGAAGCCCCCAACTCATCTTTTACCACCGATAAAGCATATTTTGCCTCTTTTGGGTCTTTGTCACCACTTACATTAAATAAATCTGAGAATTCTTTAAATATGGACTGGCAAAACAGATCTACAACTGAACAAAAGGGTACTGGGTGCACATGGGAGGCCCCCAACTCATCATTGACCACTGATAAAGCACCTTTTGCTTCTTTTGAGTCCTTGTCACCATTAACATTAAAGAAATCATCTGAGAATAAATTAAATGTTGATCAGCAAAAGAGGCATAGCGATGAAAATGGAAACCACTCTTATGGTAGGAGCTTTAGTCCACATAGGCTAAAGGCCCAAAGTATGAATCGTTCTGCCACCTTGCCACATTACAGAAAATCCTCTGTCGGTCCCCCATCACCCTTTTATTTGTTTGATTTTGATTCAGAAGAAATTCAGAATGACAATGTGTTTTATAGTCCAGTGAGCAAAAAAACTAATTCACTGTGTGAGTCTGATTACTTCTCTTCTCTGAACTCCAAGAGTCCCGTGCAGCAAAACCTTGTGAGGTCTCACTTGTCCTCGTCATGTGCTGATTTAAAGTATGGTCTACACAATGGACGATCTTTCTCAGTGAGCAGTGTGGTTTCAAGCCGCCCATCAGGTCCTGGACGAATCTCAACAAGCAGCATCAGCGACCTCTCAAGTTTGGATGACTTTGTGCCGAAGGGGGATTATACAGTAGTTGACTCTCCAATGAGTAGTAGCCTTTCTCCAATCTGTGATGCCAAATCTATCACTGGTAAACAGTCTGAACCTGGATATACAGATGATCTTGATCTTGATCATTATGATGCAGACCCAACCCCACCTCCATCACCAACTATGTCCTCTTCACCTCGTCGGATATCCCAGGCACCTTCTGTGTCTTCCCTCATGTGGACAACTCCAGAAAATCTGTCTCCTACTCGTGGAATCCTGTCATCAAGGAGCTACACAACCAGCTTGACTGTTTTTGAGGAGTCTGATTCTGACACCACAACCGATGATGAATACGATCTTGACAATTGTGATGATGCTGTAGAAACAGAACTTTAGAGGAGGTAATTATGTGTTGTTCAATTCCATCATATTGAATATGTGGTTACATATACGCTTAGGGTCTTCTACGAAATTAGAAACAATCTAAATTGTAATAACAAACAACTAGGAATCCAGATTGGATATGAATAGAAGGAATTATAATATATCAGAACTATAAGACCATGTTGATTTCATATTTTTTGTTATAAATTAAATATAATGGGCTTTTTGAATACTTTAGTGTTTGAGGATAACAATTTTTGATTTCATTATGAATTCATATACAATACAGTACAATGCACTGTTTCATTAGGTTTTTTAAGTATATTTTCTGGATCTTAAGGCTTTGAAATGGTGAATTCTCACATCATTCCTTTTATTGAGACCTGCTTCCTGTAGGTTATTGACTGTTTCATTCACTGTGGCATTTGAAAGCACAGCATGTCAGTTACAATACATTATTTTCCTGACAGACATTCTATAGTCAGTAGCTGTAAACTAAGAAACTGAACCCCAACTGTTTAACAGAGGTGTTTGAATTTTTTCAACTCATACTGCTCCATTAACCGTCAGAAAAAAAAAACAGAAAAATTTAATATCGGTGCCCCTGTAACACTGATGATTCCACATTAATTATGGTTAAGTCTGTAAAGAAGATGATGTTACAGAAGTCTGCTATCCATTTGATATTATTGTTAAAAGTATGAAAGTGTTATTGAAAACTGGCTGATCCTGGCATATGCGACATCTGCAACTTGTTAATTTGAGGTTCAAACACGGCCTCTCACAATCTATGCAAAAGACATACCACTAGATGAACTAAGCATTCTTAAATAAGACCTCACAGTTCATTTTATTTGCTGTATAATTTAATTGTGCTGTTTGTGTGTGGCTTTCAGTGTAATTTTAATTGATCTTTTATTATAATTTTTTATGCAGAGCAGGGGTTGGGGCATCATTTCTCCCCTAGAGCCTAGGGACCTCCATAAGATGTTAAGATGCTCAATTGCAGCACTGACAACAACACAGTACTACTAAATGCTGTATAACATAGGCCTACATATGTAAGAACCTTTTTGTAAGGGAATTCTTGAATGTCTTCGTTAAATCGGTTATATTTATTAACATTTAATATATTGACTACACTATATTTTTCTTAAGGCATAAGAAGAAGAATATTGATCACTTATAAAAAAAATGTAATAAATTATCTGTAAATGACTAACTTTGCACATGACTCAAGTTAAACTGCTATGCTAAACTTTAATTAGCAAGTACACTCTGTGGTCTAGTAAACCCTTTAATTCTAATAACAGAAATTCCTTAATTACAGCTCATTAAAACAGGCCGACACTGTTGCGTGTCATGTCACAACCTGCCACAATGAACAGTTATGACTATGAATGATGCAACTAATTTGGCCCTCCTATACGATCGATGTTTCAGTAATGGTTGGCAGGTTTGCGGAACAAGCAGTAGGCCTGTTCTGTTAAAAAAAAACATGACTGCCGCCTTTGGCCCTCTTGAGTATTTTGAGTATTTTTTTTTTTTTAACGAATTAAGTTAGTGAGCTATTCATTGTCACAGTAATACTTCACTTTTTTTTACTTTCGTAACGATGTAACCTGCTGAAAGGACCACTGAACGAATCTTTTTGTTAAACGAATCTCCTGCTCCACACGTAGTTCTCCATTAAAAAAAAAAAAAAAGCTTTTGGATCTCGTATATTTCTAGCTTTCTAGCATTGAGTTGGATGAGTCTGTTTTCACGTTGCTCTGGTAACGGCTGTTGTGGTTGTAAGGCGTGCATTTGCACCCGTCTCCATAATGTCATACTGTCTAGGCTTTATTTTCTCGTTTTTAAACTCCCTCAATGTTGTTTACTCTTTGGTTGCAGTTTTAGCCCCCTCTACGTTTTTTACTTCAACTTGTCGATGTCATTGTGAAAATCCAGTTCACGCTATATTCACCGGATTGGTTTGATTTGAATATTATAAGGATAAAACGCATTGCCTATTTAAGCTCCTTCTACCTATTAAACATTTTAATTCAGGTATTTTTAAGAATATTGGCTATTCTGTTTCTTGAGAATGGAGAGGACTCGACTGATCAAGTAAGTAACATTTTGTGGTCTCAACAGAAGTGGTTTATTAAAAACACCCGTCTTAATTTTGAATTGAGTAGGCCTATATGTTGGAGTTAAATGTAGCCTAATAATCCAATAAAATAGTCATAATCCTAGTTGAATAAACCCATTTCCCATACCTAGCCATGGCAAAGGCTTAATCAGGGTGCAAAGCTTTAGCCTCAGTTAAACAGTATAATTTATACTGTTATAAATTATAACAGTATAATATAATTTATAATATGCCCCCCACCCCCCCAGAATTGTTCCTTTCCGGCTAATTGAAATGTAAATCCATGTTAATGTTTTACAGAATAAACTCTCTCTCTCTCTCTCTCTCTCTCTCTCTCCTCTCTCTCTCCCCATCCTATAAGCAGCATGTGCTAGCATGAACAAGAAAATTGAACACACATACTCTTTTGACAGGTGTGAAATACAGCAAACGAAATACAGTATACACTCGTTACTAAACGAGTGAAGCAATAGAAAAAAAAACTGTCAATCATTTTCCCCCTTTAGCCATCACCCAACAGCTCCAGCTGGGGAAACTACATCAGAGTCTAATGTCATACTTGTCCCACAGCTGGAAACAGTTTTCAGCAGAGCAGCCAGGATCATCCAGCGAGCATGGAGGGCACATGTTGTTAGTGATCACAGTCAACTTTCATGTTACTTTTTCTCCAGCTTTGTGACATATGATTGAATGCACAAATAAAAAGTAGTGCATACTGTGCCTGTCATGTGTAGGATACTGCCGTCTTCAAGCACCTCAAGAAACTAGTGAGTCTCCATAATCAAGGGGATCCACGTCTCCTTCTTAGATTTATTAACCCTGCAGAGGTAAGTTTGTTACAATGCATATGTGAAGCTTAATTTAGGTTTTTCCTTTATTGGACGTTAAAGGAAAGCTAATTATAAGTAAACACACAAATTGCAAATTACTTACTAACGTTTGTAAAATTCCAGCCAACCTATCCTCCAAACATCTACTTTAAAATATACACTCGTGCACCCATAGTGGACATGTGCGCCTCCAGTCCTAAAGATTACACGCAGCTAAACAAACCTGCTCCAAGCCAGATTCATAATGGCCGAATGATGATCAATGATGGGAATGATCACTCTGGGTGGTACCAACGGGTGGAGAACAATGGCTGGAGGATTTTGTCTTGCAAGGTGACATATCCAGTCATAATACTTTCATTTTCATTTTACCTTTTGTATATCAATGCAACTCAATAAATTAAACATATCCAACCAAACATTCAGCAGCCATTACTCCACTCTCCATAAATTACATTTTAAAATATACACTTTCTACCTTCTACTGTTTCTCATGTACAATATAAATTGTAACAGTCAGAAAAATATACAAATGTTGCATGACTAAGCATTATGTGTCTATCATTGCCTTTATGATGAAAGATTTCCGTGTTTGAAGACCCAATAACTCAAGATACCAATATTAAGAAAATAGAATTCCATCACTGCAAAATCCGACGGCGACAAGATGTTGCAAGAAAACAGAAAATTCGTAAAATTGAATGGATGAGAAAAATGTAACATATTTTAAAAATGTATTTAAAGTAACTGTTTTGATTGTTTGTGGTAGATTGTCTGCAGAGCTAATCATACTAAAACCTGGAATATAAAATGTGAATGACAGCATAATAGTAAGCACAGATCTTGTGCACAGGTATGCTGAGGGTTTCCTGCATGCTCGTACTGAACACAGCGAAACAGCTCTGCTGGTGCAAAAATCCACACAGAGAATGATGGATTCCCTTGAACAGATTGGACCAGATTCAGTTTCTGAGCAGGAAGTGGATGAACTGCTTATTTTAAAAATGTATTTAAAGTAACTGTTTTGATTGTTTGTGGTAGGTGGTAAAATATGTTCTGCAGAGCTAATCATACTAAAACCTGGAATATAAAATGTGAATGACAGCATAATAGTAAGCACAGATCTTGTGCACAGGTATGCTGAGGGTTTCCTGCATGCTCGTACTGAACACAGCGAAACAGCTCTGCTGGTGCAAAAATCCACACAGAGAATGATGGATTCCCTTGAACAGATTGGACCAGATTCAGTTTCTGAGCAGGAAGTGGATGAACTGCTCGCATGGACCAAATCTCTCAATTTTGATGAGTAATTTAGCTAATATGACATTAGATGTGATATACTGTAGGCTACATGGCATCATCATATTTTCATCATTATGGTAATCATAAAATATCCCATTTAGAAATAAAAATAGTTGCTTGTCTCTCAGGTATATCAATGAATGGAGGAATTTGGGTACCAGCAAATGCTGCATAGTTAACAACGGTAAGACTCATGGCTGTTCCCTAATTGAACTTTATGTATGAAATAACACTTTTGTTGCATTGTAGCTCCCTCTACTGGTCAAAATGGGTATCCACACTTCTACTTTTCTCGCTATAGATAAACTGTCAGAAAGTGACCAAAAGGACTTTGCTTGTGTCTCTGTGCGTGATATTTGTGAGATTCCTCAGATCAGTCAGGATCCAGTGGTGAGTCAACATCTGGATCACATCTGGGGCTGGAATGTAACATGCAGCTCTAGTAGTATTTTGCACAATATGATTTGTTTTATTAATTTGAATAAATAAAGTCTTGTGTTTCGACTGGTTTTGTGTGGTCAAATAAAAGTGAGTGTGTATAAAACATTATTTTATACATTTATTTTTAAAGTTGACGTAGGCTACTACAATAACTAAAATATACTTTAAAAACTATTACTCTATAGCCTATCATATAGCCTGTATATTTAAAAACTAATAAAATTACTAAAAACACAAATTACTTTAACATTAGCTAAAATTTAAACCTATTTATACAAATTCAATTCCAAATATTAACAAAAACTACAATAGTATATCAATGATACTAAAATAAACACCGATTTACATGATGTTAGATGCGCCGTCATAGAAATAGGATAACCCAGTAACCCTGAATTGGCGAGACAGTATTTTGAATTACCGCGAGACTCGCGAAGGTGACGCGCAGCCAATCAGATTTCTCCTTTGGCGTGTTTTGCGCTGTTCTCAATCATGGCGAACTACAAAGAGGCTCCTTTGGCTACTCGGCCGAAAACATTAGATCCAGCCGAATACTTCAATCTTTCACCTGATTACCGGCGGGCTGAGGAGAAGAGAGCGGCTCTGCGGGCACAGCTGAAGCGGCAGTATCTGGAGCAGCTGAACAATCCTCATCGGAAAGAGCTGATTGTAAGACGAACCGAATATCACAATCTGCAAACATTAGCTTGGGGTAAAACGGTTACAACGAAGCTATATATAGCTTTTATTTCATATTGTGCTAGTTTATGATTTTATAATGTTTTAATGATTTAGTCCACATTCATGTTTCAGAAGCCTAGAGTGTTTTATATTGAATCCGCAGTGAGTGACCTTCACTGATCGCTGGCTAGCAGTTATTGCCTGCCAGCCTGTTTTGGTCCACATGTGTTTATAGTCTTTATGTAAAAATATGTAATTAGTTCAATTTAAATCAGACTATATTCTTATTCAGAATGCATTTTCCGGGGTGTGTTGTTTGCCCCTTTATTGTTTACAATCCTGACAACTGAATTATTGCAAGTTCCAGAAGGTACCCGGACACATTTAAACAGTTTGATCAAGTCATCAACCTCCATGTGTTTTATTCGTAGGAGGATCCTGCTCTTACACGGTGGACATATGCGCGCACCAATAACAACTACTTCAGACCAACTGCTAAAACTTCATTGATTGGTGGCTTGTTTGGAGTTCTACCCCTTTTCGTCTTGTATGTTGTGTTTAAAACAGACAGGGTGAGTTGAAGCTGTATGAATTCACTTCATATTCAGTATTGATGTCGTCAAAGTTGCAGTGGTTATATCGGTTTTAACCCTGTTTTTCGCATTTTTCCAGGACAAAAGGGAGGCCAAGATTAAGGCAGGGACCTACGAGCGCCCCTATAAACTATCAACCTAATTTCTTTGGAATTCACTATATATTGTAACACATAGTACTTGTAATTATATACTAAATAAAATACTTTGTTGAAACTTCCTTTATCGCTGTTATTGAAGAAAATTAAGAAATCACACAGTATTTTTGTCATTTCATTTACAGGGTTTCTAAAGTGGTCTTAAAGTATTCATTAGCCTTTTCCACCGATTTTAAATGTTGCATGCATATCTTCCTCAGTATCGCTTTCTTGTTTTCCAATACAAATATCTAAACATCCTTAAAGGGGGCATAACACACAGTTTCACCCAATCTAATGTTAATCTTGAGTACCTATAGAGTCGTACTGCATCCTTCATATCTCCAAATAGTCTTTAGTTTGATCATATTTATAAAAGAAAGATACAGCGTTACGATTCTCTCCGGAAAAAGCCGAGCTCCTGGAGGCGTGCTGTGGGCGGAGCTAAAGAGTGATGAGCACTTGGGCGCCAATACCAACAAAACAGACATTTGATGCCTTTTCACTTACCGTCTGCAGTTCTGAAACATGACCGGGATCTTTTATAGCTAGGACCGCTTCATCTTTCAGTATCAAACGATGTGCAAATCCAGCGTCGAACTGAGCCTTGTTTATAAAACGTTCCTCAACAAACACACTTGTGAAACTCTGTTGCTGCTCCGGAAAAACAAACTATCCACTGTTTACATATCGCTGGGTTCTTTAGGAACAAAGTTATCTTTCCCTTACAACCAAAAACACACTTCTTTGGAGACATTCTTCCCGGCGCGATCTCGCTCTGGTCGATGCGTGCGCGGTGCGCTCTTCCGGGAGAAATGCCCATATAAGGAGTTCCACCCTCGTCTACGTCATGAAGAGCCACGATCGAAACTTGTACGAACCCGGAAATTTTTTGGCACAGAAATACTGTCATACGTCCAAACTGTTTTTTGAGACTTTGTCCATGCTTAGCATGAGAATCCAACTCTTTAACGGTGTAAACAACTCTGAATGTATGAAACAGCATTGTACCCCCCCCCCTTTAAATCAAGATACATGAGATGCAACTCAAGATGCAAAATGAATATAAGAAGTCTTGTTTTCTGAAGGAATTATTAAAATTATGTGATCTTATGGGGTATACAAACTTGTTTTCCCTTTCAGTTTTCTTAGACCATTGACATTTATTCTTGTTTTAATCATAAACCTTTTGATCAGCTTTGCAGAAAACAAGACTTATGTCATTTTTAAGAATCTTTAGACATCTGCACTAAAAAACAAGACAAACATACTAAGGAAGAGCGTTACTTTTTTGCACTACAGTAAAAATTATTTTCATATACTAGTGGTTGGGAGCAGAGCTATTAAAGCTGCAAACATGCTTTTTTTTTGGTAAATGGATTAAAAAGTAATGAGACCTCTTGAATTTTGTATTTTCAAACTTTGAAAATAAGTGTAAAAGTGTTGCTAATACAACTCATGGTGTGCTCCTTAGACATTTACATTTTTATGTACTGTGTTCCCTTCAATTTATAACGTATATTTTCTTTGTCTTAAAAAGGCCTTTAAAATTGTCTTAAATTTTTCTTTATAAAACCTGCAGAAACCCTGCGTTTTGTTTTATTGGTTATATAATAGCATGTTTTGTTTTTATATCGTAGAACATCTCTGGTTAACTCCATTCTAGAGAGAAAACCATTGTGAATCACCGATCCACGTCAGACAAATATTATGACGACTGTTGAGGTGTAACCATGTACTTCATGTTCTACTTGCTGCTGGGTTTCCAGTTTGGATTGAAGTGACTTTTTAAAGCCTCCCAGCATTTATAGTAGCTCTTATCGAGACGGTGGCAGGTGTCCAATCCCCACTTGGTCACAGCCATGCTGAAGGATGACTCAAACATGAATGCCTGTTGGATACAGCATTATTTAGAACGTCATCTAGCCATTTACATGATGTATTTCAAAATGAAACATTACCATAGTGCCAGAAGCAACTCTCTCTGGTTTGAGAACAGCTGTGCTGTTCTTCTCGAAACAGTCAACGTCAGGACCATGTGGAGTCATGATGCTGTGGAGACTGGCTCCTCCAGGCTGGAAACCTTCTTCCTTTGCTTCATAGTGGCCTTTGATTAATCCCATAAACTCGCTCATGCAGTTCCCTTTTAGCATAGATAGAGGGCGTTCTTTAACCGCATGAAATTTCACTTGGTTTCAATACAAGTATGTATCAACACAGACTTACTGTGGTAGTAAGGAGGCCGAAAGGTGTGATTAGCTACACCCCAACGAGGGGGAAAGATGACAAAATCTGCAATGGCCACACCTGGACGTGTGGATTTTGCTGTCAAAACGGTGAAAATCGACGGATCCTGTAAATAAAGATTCAGGTAATTTGATTAACGGCGCAAATGCAGTGATTTTAAGACGTCAAATGAAGCAAATTACTTACAGCGTGATCAAACGCCACACAGTTGATGACCATGAAGTTCTCCAGGTTGTATTTGTACGGTGTGTAGTTTCCGTGCCATGCCACCACATTAAATGGCGAAAAGTCCTATTTGAACACATTTAAAATGAAAAATAAACCACGTAATTCATTTCTGTAGGCTTTGAGTGTATAATCAATAGTAATGCAAACGCGAAACACTAAGACGTCCGATCAATGAATGCCCTCAATAAAACGTTTAAACCGCTTCGTTTTGTTTTGATGCGCTACTCCTTCACTTGAAATAGGTTACGGGGCGAAGAAATGTCTTCGTAAACAAAAAAAACGACGCAATTTTATACACACTTCGCTTGATAATGTTGCAGCAGACAGATTTTGAATGCTGCCTGCAAAATCAATATAATTCATTACAGCAGAGACTGCCTGCTGTCCTGACCCTCATGCGCCCTCCTGTTGTTTCAACCTACCCACATGAATACACACACACACCAAGTAAAATATTAGTCACAACTGTACACACAAACACAAATCCAGCGACTCAAACGTGTCTGTTATTACAGTTACATTCAGTCACACAAAGACACTCTCTGTGCACCCTGGGGTTTCTGGGACCCTCAGGTTTGTAATCTCACAGGCATAACAGTTCTCGGGATAACTCTACCAGACTCTATTAAAATGAAGAAAAAAACTCATACACACAAAACACAAACATAATTTCCCAGTCAAGCAAATAATAAGTTAATTTAAGCAATTTTAGCACTCAGTTGGAGGACAAAACCACAGGATAAGGCTGTACCTTCTCCTTCAAGACCATAAGCCATTTAAGAGTGTACAGATGGTGAGACCTGTCTGCTCAAGTATAGATTGCTCTCTCTGCATTTTTTTTTTTCATTACAATGAGTGATACTGTCTTGTGATGCTACTTTTTCGGTCTCTGATTTGCTCCTGACAGCCATAAGTCAATTATTCACTTGACAGGACACAGGGAAATAAATTAAGTGCAGCATGATGCTTGAAATCTTATTAAAGACTTATCCTGCATGGACAAATTGTGCATTTCATGTGTAATCTAACGTTCAGTGCCTTATTGATGCCAGCAGTGTTAGTAATGGGAATTACTAATGACACAATCATGTCACGGCACCTGTTGACATGAGAAGAGCTTTCCCTGGTACTTGTTGACAATGGTGTAACCTATGGCTACAGTATGGTCCTCGTACCAAGCCACAGGTGTTTGGAAGTCCCTAGGGTTAGCCAGTCCATTTGCCCCTGCAATGCAGAACCAAATTAATAGACATTTCTTAGCAGCTTATGAAAGCAATATGTTATTCAAAGACGTTAAAAATAAATTGTGTTGTATATACCTATAGGACCCAGGTCAGGCAGCTCAAAATGGGCCCCAAACACCTCTAGAATGTATCCCCTGGTTTCTCTAAACACATCAACACTAAAACGCATCCCTTGCTGGGAAACATAGACGAGTATATAATAAGAAAAAATTAATTAAAAAGTGCAATTTCTATGCCGTTTATCAGAATGTTGAATGCAAGCATGAATGTACAATACCATTAATAAGTTTGGGGTCAGTAAGATTTTTTTACTAAAAGAAATGAATAATTTTATTCAACAAGGATGCATTAAATTGATCAAAAATGCCATTAAAGACATCTATGATGTTACAAAAGATTTAGAATAAATACTGTTTTGAACATTCTGTTCATCAGAGAAACCTGAAAAAAAACTATCACTGTTTTCACAAAAATATTATGCTGCACAACTGTTATTAACATTGATAATAAGATGAAATTTCTGAAGGATTATGTGACACTGAAGACTGGAGTAATGGCTGCTGACAACTCAACTTTGCCATCATAGGAATAAATTACATTTAAAAAAATTAAAATAGAAAGCAGTTTTTAAATTGTAACAATATTTAACATAATATTGTGTACATACGATAAATTTTAAACTACATTCATTAGGTTTTTTTTAGTATTATTATTTGTTAGTCCATTAAAACGTTGTACTAACCCCAAACTTTTGTATCTCATTGTTTTATAGATATTAGAGTGACACCTGAATGACACAAATCTCATTGGGCTCCACCATCATCTTCCCAAATTCTGTAGTAATCAGGATTTCGCCTTGTTGAGGCACTGAAACACAAATTGCAATAATAATCAAAAGGTGCTACTACTAAAAACATCTATACCACACATTAATCCTGAAAGATTATAAAATATTAAAAATATAATAATCTTGAAAAAATATGGCATGAATAACAAGACCACAAGCTTACCAATAAGCAAATCACCATCTGCGTTTTGGAAACATCTATGAAAAGAAAAGGTACCATCTTAAGAAACACTGTACAGAGAACACAGGTCAAATTATTGGTGAGTTGAATCCAATTCAAACTGACTTGTCAATCATTGAAGTGTTACAGGTGTACATGTGGATGGCGATTCCATTACGAGATTTTGAATCTCCAGCTCCACAGACTGTATGTAGACCCTGAAAATATCAAACCGATGACAATGGGCATCACTGAGAATTATTTAAATATGAAGGCCATATGAGCAGTAAGTACAAGGATGAAATTTTTTACCAATATGAAATCCACTTTTTTCTCAGAAGATTTGGGGATGTTAAACGGCTTCCAACGCAGCTGGTTGGGGTCAGGCTCCACTTCATTCCAGCTCTCTGTGAGATCTCCACAGCTCATCGGACTGAAAGGCTTGTGGCGCACAGAGGGTAAAATGCGGTACAGCCAGCTATAAGCATAAAGGTTTTCTGTGCTCAGTTCTTACAAATCATAAGGGTTAAGTTTTGACTGTTATGTTGCATACTGATTTTTTTTTGTGCAAATCTATATACCTTCTCTTATTGGTTGACCGTGGGCAAGTGAAGGCAGAACCAGAGAGTTGCTCAGCATATAGGCCATATGGACACACTTGTGGATTGTTCTATAAAACAATAAACTAAACTGAGTATTTGATGTGTAATGTTAATTGGGCAGGAAGTTCTGGTATTACCTGTCCCTCAGGTAGAGATCCTGGACAGCGAGAGTCCTCAGAGGCGAACTCATTTCCAAAACCGCTCATGTACTACAAACACAGTTATTTCAACAGTATTGATTAAATATGAGTTTGTTTTACT